GAATCTGAATGTAATGAGCGTAGATTGCGTTCTAATCATTGCTTCATTGGTTTCTTTTCAAGAAAAAGAAAGTAAGTTTTAATAGAAATTTATTAATATATTATTTTATAATTTTAAAATATACTGATTTATATAGATAGCATCATTCTTATATAGATAGCATCGACTGTCGATAAGTGCGGATCTACAATAAGTGGATACGATAGATAAATAAATACGATAGATATAAATACGATAGATATAAATACGATACGATAGATGAATATCTCCTGCAATTCTCTTTTTTATCAGTAGATAATAATGCGAATTAATTATAGTAGAGTTGAAAACGTTACCTTAAAAAAATAACATGTTATCATTACAGCAGTTATAAAAATAACTCATTACCGTCATCAAATATTCATTTTAAAAAGTAACATGTTACCGTTACCGTTACTTGAAAAAATAATGAATTGTTACTTCTTGAGAAATTGTTGAGTTTTAGTTTCCTCACAAATTGATAAAATTAAAGTTATTCGACGCGTCATTATACAAAAAAAAAACGATTGGGAAAAAACAATTGTCGGGAGCTAAACTCAACAATTAGAGAATTTAAACTAAATATTGCTTTTAAACATTATTGTCATTAAAAATTTCAAAATTCACTTCCAGTGAGTGAATATCCATATTATAGTTATATATAATGTGAATTACAGATTTTTAAAACTGATATTTAGCAAACGAGAATGGATTTAAATGGATTGATTTTTTTCTATCCGAATATTTTAAATAGCGAATTCTTTTTTTTGGATTTAATTGGATTCAATTAGGTTCAATTGGATTGAAAAATTGCATTTCCTATTCAAAATTTTGAATTGAACAGTATTCATAATGTTTGTTATGTGCACAGAAAAAGCTAATATTATTTTTGAAAGACATAGAGATGTGCTTCATGCAATTCCTATAAATGAATAAAAATGCATTCAGGATTGAAAAGCATTCATTTTAACATTTGTGTCAATATTTCTGAAAATCTGAATTTCAATTCATTTTAATCCATTCTCGTTTGCTGAGATGATAATTATGAGATGATAAACAAATTTTATTAAATCAATTGTTAATGATATATTGATAATGAATGAAATATTAACAATAAATAAATCATATTTGTTTTTAATTGTTAACTTGCGATTGTAAAATTTATTAAAATTCATCTAATGAAATTTATTTATCTTTACCTTGTGATACGTTAGTTAATGCAGTCCGACACAAAGAAGAACAATATCTTTATGATGGAAACTCAGGCTGCATACTTGTTAGAATGAAAATTTTAAAAGAATTTTTTTAGGAAAGCATTTAGTTATCTTGAAAATAATGTCCAAATGATATCTTAATAATTATTTATCAGAGGCATCTACTAGAAGAATTCTTTAAGATATCTTATTTCAGAGATTTCATTTCTTGAAAATTTTATCTTTATAATATCATGCTAAATGATATCAATTTATTCTCTCATAGAAGATATCATTATATTGTATGGCATTTGAGTAAATATGCATGCGCCTGTATATTTGATTCAGAAACTAGACATAATTATGAATCTTTTGAAAAATCCATTTGTTGTCATTTTTGAAGATATCATAAAAATAACATTTTCAAGAAGCAGGCTTATAATTTATAAAATTTTAAGACAGCACAAAATATTACAAGATAACGAAAAGATGTCTAAAAGAAGTCTGAAAAATGACGAAAGTATGATCGTTTTGTTTTTTCAGCAAGATGAAAGATGATTATATCCAAGTAAAACATTAAGTCGCGATAACGTCAAAATGACATTAAAATGAATCGGAAATGATTGAAAAACTTTTTCAATGACTTTTAATGATCATTTTGGAGTCATTTTGATATCATTTTGATATCATAATGATTTGTTGTTCTGCTTAGATAAATCGTCTTTTAGTTTTGTTGAACAACTTAAAACAGACATTTTTTCGTCATCTGGTTGTCTTCTCAGTAAAGCAAAAAGTTGACTAAAAGACATTTTTTCGTATTACTGAAAAGACAATGTGGAAAAAATATCTTTCTTTATTATATTTTTCATCACTCACCTGCGAGCAGTACGCTAGATGGATGTTCGGATTCTCGTGTTTTAAAAATTATACGGTAAGCACGTGCTAGTGATATTATATAGTCTTGTATGTTTCCTGCCTGATAGGCTCGCTCCTAACGACTGTATCCCTTTTTATATTATCATAATAATAACAACAACAATAATAATAATAATAATAATAATAAACTATACGAGATAGAATAAAAGGTGCAGCGTTATGAGAAATATAACTTGTGTTCTGACGAACACTCATACAATATTTTTTGAAAGCAAGTCCTCAAAGGGGATTATGATGAAAGATAATGATTCTTATACACATCACATCGCTGTAAGCATTGCAGGCATAATAGAACATATACAAAAAAAGCGAACATACGCAAAAAAAGTGGTACACTGAAAAATTAGGAAAAATTTACTAAATTTTAAATTATCATAACTTGGTAAATAATAAAGATAAAAATATGTTTAAAAATATAAAATGAAGCTTGAAATATCCCCTTTAAGACATTCCAATATACTTATCGAATGAGATTTATACTGAGTCATTATTATCAAAATGTCAGATGACAAAGTAAAAAAATGAAAAGTAAAAAAATGATAATTAAAGATCCGTGATTGTCACAATGCATGGCGTAAATCAGGTACGACAGCCTAATGGGACAAAATGCACATAAAAGAATGGAATTTTATCTTTAATATCTAAAATATTTTTTTTACGGAGTTCAATACGATCATTTTTCTGAGTTATTCCAAATTTAAGGTATCGTTGTCATTAGCTTAAATTATGATTGTAATTCATTCCAATATAAACTGCACAAAGTTTGACGGATTGAAATTGAACCTCATTTTGTGTATGTATGTGCGTGCGTGCGTGCGTGCGTGCGTGCGTGCGTGCGTGCGTGCGTGCGTGCGTGCGTGCATGCGTGCGTGCGTGCGTGCGTGCGGCGTGCGTGCGTGTGTGCGAGAGAGAAGGAGGGAGGGAGGGGCGGGTGCGCGCACACACGCATGTATATCACCGCAAGGAGGACCCCATTCCCCAACAAATGAGAATGGATTAAAATGGATTGAAATTTTTTTCTATCTGAATGTGTATTTTAAATACCGAATACTTTTTTTGGATTTAATTGGATTCAATTGAATTCAATTAGATTCAATTGGATGCAATTCGATTGAAAAACTGCATTTTCTATTCAAAATTTTGAATTGAACAGTATTCACAATTGTGTTTGTGTGCACAGAAAAAGCTAATATTATTTTTAGATTGAAAGACATAGAGATGCAATTCTTATAAATGAATAAAAATGCATTCAGAATTGAAAAGCATTCATTTTAACATTCGTGAATCAATATTTCTGAAAATCTGAATCCATTTCAATTCATTTCAATTCATTTCAATTCATTTTCGTTTACTGGATCGTCATTCCGTACACAGACTCCAAACCTTGCTCTCTCTCTCTCTCTCTCTCTCT